GCAGGCTCTGACTCTATCAATCAGGAGGTCATAATCCTTAGAAAGCCCCTTAGAGCACCAGCACATATATTGGAGAAGGGCTCCCGGGAGTGTGAGGAGCCAGGGCTATATCATATGTGCTCTCCCCTCTTTTTTACCTGTTATGTGGTTATTTCTGAGCTATGCTCTTTTCTTCCAGGCCAAGAGCAGAAAGAGAGGGAAGTGGAACTCCACTCTCCCACGCAGATAGACATAAGTAAAAACCTCAGCTTCATGGCAAAGTTCACAGAATTGCAGGTGAGTGTCTTCTGACTCCCTTCATCTTTCCTTCTGCTGCAGAGCAGGAACCTGAGCATTTCTGCAAACTCTGAGCCTGAGGCTTCATTGTTTATTCCTTGCTGATGGAGTAGTTTGGCTTCCTCACTGAAAAATAAAAATATTTCTGAATGCACTTAGAAGGGCATTAGGGAACTGTGCAAGTATGCTATTCAGTAATGAATACCCAAGTGATTGTGTAAAAAAAGGGGAGGAAGATCAGCTGGGCACCCAAAAGCTCTCTGAAACTAAACTGTAACGTGTTGTATATGTGATCAGTAGCGTTGATTCCCCTTGATAACACTGCAGAAATTCACTAAGGAAAGTGCATTATATAACAAAATAAAACCATTTCATTGCTCAATATCCAGTATGAGAAATGCAAAAAAATCTTTTTCCTCTCACAGGTTAAGAACTTACTATCTATCTTACATCTGGAGCTGTTTACCCATGCCTGCTATCCCACAAATTGTTCCAGTTCTGAAAGGCTTCTGTTTACTTTTTTCCTAGTGGAAAATACTCACATTAAAAAATGAAGACACAGAACATAAGTACAGCTCCTCTGCTCTTGACTGGATCACAATGGACACAAATATTGCCTACTGGCTCCACCCGACCTCTGGTGTAAGTATGAGGGGTAGAAGTAAACGTGAACCTGGTGAAGAAAGCAGACTTCAGTTCAGACATGACCTCCGTGAGTGTGAGCAGGGCTGCAGTTCCTCCAAGGAGCTGCTCCAGGATGGACTCTTCCTGTGTTAAGAATATATTTTCCCTGGGTTGGGTTTTTTTTTTGCATGTGATACAGCTTTGACAGTAGTTGCTTTTAATTAAAGTATGTCTTCTTGCACATTTTTTTTAGTAAAGGAAAGGAAAACTGCAGTTTAATAGTTGTTTCCATTATTGATTCCATTTAGAAGATGAGTTCATCTCCAATAGCACCTTTTAAATGCCTCACATTACAAAAGAGTCTTAAAGCAGCAAAATTTATCAACTAGCTTTGTTCCAGGAAAGATCTACTAGCCAGGCACATTCTGACATTTAATTTAGCATTTGCAGGTAATATTTAAACTTGCCTAAAAGAAAAGAACTGCAGCATATTCTTGGTTCTGGCTTAGATCATCTTCTATCCTTCAGGCCCAGATCCACCTCCTTGGGAATGTTGTCATCTGGGCTTCAGCTAACGTCGCTGCTCTGATCTATGTGTGTCTGTCCCTGTGGTACTTGGTACGACGAAGGAGAAAGATTTACGACTTTCCTGAAGGTCTGATTCCAGAGTGC